CCATCAAGGAGATAAGCTTGTTATTTTCAATACTGTGTAAAACATTGATTTTCTCCCATCTTAATTTATAAAATCCAGATTTTCATTAATTGTAGTAACATTTGCATTTATACAAATTCACAATGTAGTCCAAACAGGTGAGATGATATGTTGACAAAATGCCGTCTGTTTTATATTTCTAAAGAAGAAATATTGCCATCATTTTGGTGCAAAATGTCTGATGACATCTTCCCTCAACAAATTTGAATTACAAGCAAGAGATGGACAATGTGTGTTGCTTTTCACTAAAAAAAATAATAAAATCCCAAGCGTAGGAGGTCTTTCAACAGACAAAGTGCATTCTGAGAGGCTTCGGTCCTCTTAAGACACCACACAGTGGGAGGTCTATTTTCTCTCAATCTTCCCTCTCACCACAGGGAAGGTTGAATTCATATGTGTGTGTGTGCAGTGTATGTGTGTAGGTTAAAGTCTGGGCCAAAGGCGGGTGGCAGAGTCACTTCACATTATCAGATCCCTCTACAGATTATAAGAGAGAATTCAAGTGTTTTCATTCTTCAATCGCTGACACTTATCGAAATGATAGGAAGTAAAGGAACAGGTCACACAGAACTCCTCTTATTGTGGCTTCGATGATCCAGGTAAAATATTTATCTCAAAGCAAATCTTTCTTTTATTTATTCAGATGAACTTTAAATAAGCATGTTGCCTTCTAAAACATCTCTTTGGATATTAGCACAATTGCCAGAGATATGTTAATATTAATAAGTTGGAAAAAAATGTGTAATAATTTAGTTCATTTTCAAAAGTAAAGTAACAAACCCTAAGACTGTTGTATTCTCTTACTGTAAACTCACTCTAATATCTCAAAAGAGCAGGACAGTCTAAATTTAAGCTTGTGTCACAGCACCATTTCACAACCCCAAGGTGAAGAGTGAGCAGGCTGGTTTGTGTGTGATGGTGGTGGCCCGTGAGGCGGGATTACGAGCTATCACAGCGTACCAAATATAGAAGTCACTTGGTCTCAGGAGAGGCCATCAAGACACTCACTCTTCTTTTGCTCTGCCCACTCCAGTTGATGAACTAAGCACAGAGGGCAAAGCTTTTTTTCCCCTAACTGCCTGAGAAGAAACATGGCGTGAATTTAAAAAGCACCCATGTTGATGTTAAGATGAAAATAATCCCGTGACCATATTGTAGATGTGGGTTATTTTGGTGCAGGTATAAACCACCTTGATTGTGAAATAGATGAGCTAGGCCTAATATTACATACATATATATTGCATAGATAGATAGATAGATAGATAGATAGATAGATAGATAGATAGATAGATAGATAGATAGATAACCTTTGTTTAAACTGACAACTCAAATCTTTGTTTGGATATTTTATCTAAAATATCATCTCCATTTTGCACTTTTGCCTTTTGTTGTTCACAGTTAGCTGACAATGATCTGTGTATTGTGGCAAGTACGACTCCATCAGAGTAAAACAGTGATCTAATGTAATGATGGGCTTAAATTTGAAGCCCTCTGTTGCTCTATGTCTAAATACTTGAGGCTAGTACTTTTAGGATATCTCCTAAAAGCTGTGTATCTCCTTAGGTCATGATATAATATAATGATGTTTGCAGCAACTTGTGAAAATACACTGCACACTACTATTTGGTTTGACTTACAGTGTTGTAATCTACAAATAATAATAAACTGTGATGTTTAAGGTGCAATCTTACATTTGGTCATGTTTAATAGTGTCGTATAAAATCATAGATGTCACACAGTAGTAGGCAAGCCAGTGCAAAAGATTAGCATAACGTCCTCTGAGTAACTTTGACACTCACAGACACTGAACAAGTTTCTGTTTTGAATTTATCCTGGTAAATAGAAGGGCAGAAGTTCCCATCAGTGCAATGTGAAGTGTTTTGCTATGAAGGCCGGGCCTTTGTGCATAGAGCCTGAGGGCAGCAGAACATGGCTCTTTTAGGGTTTGATTTATAATTGAAAGCTTTGTTTACATCTGCTCTCCAGCCACCACAGCACAGAGTGCAGTTCATAGCCTGGTGACAGAGGAGACCAGAAAATTGAACCCATTAAAAAGAGAATTTTGGGGGGAAGTTGGAGGAAGGGGTGTAAGCTGGAGTGGTCATAGAGCCTGGTGTTTACATCTGGCTGTACATCACTATGTACACTAGTGTTACTCTGTAAGCAAGGCAAGGAAATGTTAAATCACTTCTGACAGCTGAGAAATTGACTGCTTCTTGGCTCTTATACTTGTCTTATGGGAAGTAAGGAGGCTTTCTGTGCTGAGAAGTTGCTGGAAGCTAATAAGTGAGCCTTACACATTGTCTATTTTGTGTAGTTACATGCATAAACATGACATTTGAGAACACACTGATATGTTTGTAATGCTGCCAGTGACTCAAAAAATCCTTCCTAGTATGAAAAAGCCACTATCTCTTTGTGCATTATGGGCTGTAAAGGGAAAAAGAGCCAATGTGCAAATAGCAACTTAAAAGACTAAAATGCAAAATACAAATGTAGGTTTGCAAATCCACCAGTTTGTGACTCTATGGTATCTGCATACGGCCCAAAAGGGTGTTCGTGAATTAGGGGGAAAAATGACCATTTCATTTGTTTGTTATTATTTACAGTAGAGAAAATAATTATTTGATCCCAGATAAATTTGTCAGTTTGCTCACTTGCACAAGTGAGCAAAGTCCTAACTATGGCATTACTTCATAGTCAACTATGTAACCTCATAGTGGAGATGATGGGGTTGTACTTTCAGAAAGTCGGTTGCACTATTTAGCATTTTTCATCAATGAATGAATGTGAAATATATTATTTATCCCATATTTGTAATATGCATTAAAGACATTTTGAATTGAGCAGTTGCCTCTAATAGTCACTGTGAAGGACCTGGGTCAAAATCAAAAGGATGTGACATTTATCCCAGGAATGAGTCTGGCGTAAAATGACCCTCAGACATCAGTCTAATGAACAGCTGACGTACCTGAAACAACAAGGTTTTGTGGTGAAATAGTTCAAATTGGACTTGATCTTATCAAGAAGATAACGTGTTTTATCTAGCAAAGCCCAAATGGGACCGACATCAGCAGGTCCTAGCATTCATGGACGGATTTTCATTTCAGGATGTAAAACTCACCCTAAGGTTGCTGTCTTCTGGCTTAGAGAGGCTAGAGTTAGCTTGAACTAATGAACAATACGATATATAGCACAGCAAAACACTCTCTTTAGTGGATAAACAACAGGGTCTGATCTGACGGGCAAGTTAGAGTATTGTTTTTATATTACTTCAGCCAATGAAATGTAATTTTTTCAATCCATGGTACCTACAAATTATTTTCATTTGAGCCGTCAATAAATTATTTACTTGTACAAAGTAAGGGTATATACCACTTTCTACAGCCCTAGCCAAGAGCAATGCAAGGCAAAAGGAAATAACCAGATATGTGTAATTTTTGCAGCATTCATCAAATTTTCACCGTTGTTGTCAAATATTTATACTTAAGCTATAAAACATGCCGGTCTCTCAGTCAGTGTTTTGGCTGATGGTGTGCCCGAAGCAACAGGATGCTAAATAATAACAATAGTTGTACCCATGTTAACCAGAGAACATTAAACTGATAAATAATGCACAATAGTAAAGATGAAGAAACATCATCTTTCCTGAAAATCTGTGTTTTTCCTTAAAGTCTAAATCAGCAAACGCAATCATGACTTTTCCTGTGGTATAAAGAAAAGTATCATCTATGTATGAGGTTATTAAGTATTAATGAGGCTTGCCCCATTACCTGTTTTGCTCTTTCTCGGTATTAAGAGTGAACAGTTAAACTGGATGGAGCTTAGGGCTTTGGTTTCGACCAGTTAGGGTGAGAGGAACACGGGTAGCATAATAGTAGTTTCATTCACTGCTCTTCCCCTGACTCTCATTTTCTGTCTCTCTTCAACTGCAGTAAGCTCTCTTCTTATAATTTTACATATTGCGACATTCATTATTCTCTTGTGCAACAGTTGCGACCTAGAATCTAGACCCTCCCTGAGGCTGTGGGAAATATTGCATTTAATTAAATCGTTATTGCACAAATATTATTTATTTATATCAGGCATTAAATTGTCTCTAAACCATGTAATGGCTTTCCAGCTGCGTTGAAAGCCTCGGTAACACCATTACAGACAAATTCATTAAAGTCCACCTGAGTTCTGCACAGAAGACAAAACACTGAATCCCCTCATCTAAGATGTTTGGTGGAACAGTTAATCTTGATAGACGTTAGAGTCACTTAGCAGAAAAGGGAGGAAAAGAACAACTGAGTTCATTTTCTTGTTTGTTTTTGCTTAAATTTTCACAGAAATTTAGCTTATCAACGGAGGAAATATGTGTCAAAACGCATGAAACAAAAAAAAACTCACTAAAGATAAAGTGGATGTATTAATGCCAGGCTTAAATTTCCAATTTAAAGCAAAAATAAATATGCATGTGTTTACAACAAAATGGGTGGCATTCACCTTTAAACGCTTTCCATAACAAACACAGTTCAGGGTCTAGCTTGTTATCTTTTTAAGGCAGGAGTGCCACCAAGTGGTAAGTCTGTGCAGTACATCAGGTAATGTCTTTTCTTTGTTTCTTTTGTTGAGGCGAGGCGATTGTGTAAGCACCTTAAGAATTTTTTTAGGGATGTGCTAAACAATAGGAGGCAGTCATTTGTCTTTTGGGGGTTATGATGTGGAAAAGAAATAAATGTATAGAAGTAATAAGCTTAAAGTAAAGTAGATCATATTTAAAGTATATAATAAATGCTTCTTATTTCTGCCACAAAGGAAACTGTAATATCTCTGGAGACTTTGAAATACTGAGAACTCGAGGACAGACTTATAGGATGATTAATATCACTTTTTTATTTATAATAAAATTTTCTCAAAATTGCAGTTCTTTGCCTTATGAGTCATACTAGAGATTATGAAATATTTAACACCCCCAAAATACACCCACATCTTAGCTAAACTTTGCCATTGCAGACTTCCTTTGTACTTCCCTTCCTGTAAAAAATCTCCATCATAAATGGATGCTCTGTTTTGATGCAGTAGGAATAGACTCTTCCTCTGGTGTGATCCAGGACTCCTCTGAGATCATCGGCTCTTTGGTTCCTCTATTCAACAGCACAGTGCAGCCAGATGGGCAGAGGAGCTCCTCTCTCTCCAAGGCCAGCAGATCTAAAAGGTACTGCTGGGAATCGTGGTCCATTAGCACCAGATTGATGCCATCACTGGTACCCTGATCAGACTCAAGGAAAGAATGTAATGTTGGGATGGCCTCAGCTGAGCTGTGTAAAAACCTGGAACTGAGGAGGTTTGGAAAAGTGAGTAATAGAGAGTTATCTTTTAGAGATATTTTAATCATATTCTGGTTTAGAGTCCTCACTGTACCTGGGATCGCTTGAAGCCAGCCACCAGGATGATTTCCTCTCAAAGATCTGCTGTGACTGGGTCCAGCACCACTGCGATCAATCTGCCTCCATGGGGCAGCAGACGAAGCAGACGGCCAGAGCTGTAGCCACAGTGCATTCCCAGCTCCAGCACCCACAAAGGGCGGACACTTTTCACTACGTCATCCAGTATCTCACCTGAATCCACAGGAACAACAAATTTTATTTCCTTTGCACACACCAGGGAGTATAGTTGACATTTTGGAACATTTTGACATTGTGGAATGTAGAACAGTATGCACCCAATAAATAAGTTACATTACAATAACTTTTATTAATGAATATAAAATACAAAAATGTATTACATAATAAATTAAGGGAATGGTTACTAAAGCAAAGGTAGGTACCTGCTGCCATTTCAGCCAAACTTGCTTTTTAGCAAAATATAGTAATTGCAGACTAATAATGTTTAGTAAATGAAAGATTAAATTAAATAAATGAAATTATTTAAAGCAAGTTCATGATTTACCATTGCATTGCTAAATGCTCAGTGTTCAAAGAAAGGGGTTATATTTCTGACTTTTGTGGAAAAAAGCACAAGCAAGTTGGGTAAAATTGCAAGATGTTGTGGTATGAAATGCTCTGCTGTTACGACCCGGCTCAAAGGCCGCAACATAAAAAAAAGAGATGAATACCAGAGTGTTAGTGAGAAGAGGTTTTATCTTAAAATGGAATACCAGGTTGGCTAAAATGGCTGGTGCCACCAAGGCAAAGACAAGTGAGCTCCCGGGGAGCTTGCCTCAGGTATGCTTTTATGCACACCTGACTAGGTGTGGCCAGTTAGCACCAGCTGAAAACATTAAGAAGGTTAGGGGTTGCAGAAGGTTCTGCAGACTAGATTGAAGGAGCGGGGAATTGGGGAATTTAATCTGAAGAGTGTGTTGGGGGGTAGTAGGGCACAGGTGAGGGAACTGGTGGGGTTTGTGAAGGATATAGGTGTTTATGAACGAGTGTAGTTTAATTTGTAGTAAAGTAGTAGTAAACTCACTGTCTGACCCATACTCCGGAACAGTAGGAGGCGGTAATGCTCCTTTACGTTGGTTGCCAACCGCCGTTAAACACAAAGAAGAAGAAGAAGAAGAAGGGTTGCAGAGGGCCGTAACATCTGCAAAAGCAACATAGTTTGTAGAAACTGAGCTAATGACTGCTACTTTGATTGTTTTCCTCTGACAGAAGTGGAAAATATCCAAAAGCATGAAATTTTTTTTTTCCAGAAGTCTTAAAAGAAAAGGCAATGGGCCCCACAGGGTCTTTATGTCATTATCATGAAGTCAATGTGTGACTATCAGAATCAGAATCAGCATACTTTATTAATCCCTAAGGAAATGATGTGGGTTTCAGTTGCTCCAGTATAAATAACAGTAACAGAAACAGACTAGACTATTTAACAATACAATATGTTACAGATTTAAGAATTTTAAGAAATATGCACAATATATACGAATCACTGATTGAAAGAGGTGATTATAAATAAATACCAAGAATGTTGACAGGACGATTACAGAGTCGAAAAGAATCTGTGCAAAAGGATGTAACTATTAACGTGTTTACAGTGTGTAAGATGGAGGAGTTGTCCAGGGAGATGGCCACAGGCAGGAATGATTTCCTGTGTCGTTCAGTGGTGCTTTTTGGTAATCTCAGTCTCTCACTGAACGTGCTCCTGTGGCTAACAAGCATGTCACGGAGTGGGTGGGAGGTATTGTCCAACATTGTCTTAATCTTGAACAACATCCTCCTTTCAGACACCACCTTAAGGGAGTCCAGCTCCATTCCCACAGCACTACTGGCTTTATGGATCAGTTTATTGAGTCTGTTGGCATCTGCAACCCTCAACCTGCTCCCCCAGCGTGCAACAGCATAGAGAATAGCACTGGCCACAACAGATTCATGGAAAATCCTGAGCATTACACAATGAGACTGAAAACACAGATAACCTAAATCCACAAAAGGCCTGTCACCGGAAACTTCCAGAAAAAGGGGAACTGTAGCAAAGAGAAAAGTTGCTGCTTTAAAGGGAAATAGTGGCCACACTAAATCTTGATTTAGTTCTTTTCTGTAGAATATATGTAATTATTCAGAATTTTGTACAATCCACACTTGATTATGTCTCTTCATAATTAATTAATAAAGGTTATTTTAAAATTGTGTTTGAGCTTTACCACTTCTTAAACTCCTATTTCTATTACAGCACCATGCCCACAACAGATATGTCATGCATTATGTATTCCATGTGCACTAACTGTACAAGTGAGACACATCAAGGTAACTGTTTCTAATGCTTACATACCAATATGTGGACCAATGCAGAGAGACTGATGTGTCTCAGCATAAAGGTCAAAGGTCTCTAAGACGCTGTCACCTTTGCCATGGGTGCAATTAGAGAACACAAAGACGTGTGTGCTCTTGAGACACGGCCCCCCTCCCACCAACCTCAGAGCCCAGGCCAATGCTTGATGGCACAGGATAGAAAGTTTACCACAATAATGGCTGGACACCATGAAGATGGTGGGAAGCAGTGGCACCAAAAGAG